CCCCCCCCCCCGGCCGCCCTAGCTCGACTGTCTCTGCGAGCCGCTGCCCTATGGCGACGCCCTGTCATATCATGCCAAAACACTCGCACTACGCAGCAAGCAACTGTGCCGAAATCATCCTCCCTTGGCTACCCCGGCCTGCCCTTGCCCCAATTTCATACTTGCTACACAGTAATAGACCGTAGTATCTAGTAGAAGTAGTAATAAATGCTATTCACAGCTTTGCACGCGCTTCTGTTGCGCGGTGCAGCCCTTTTCCTCTTCGCTCAAAGTATTCACGAATCTTCTCCCTCGCTACATGGACCGCCTCGCCGTCCTCGATCGTGCTGGGTACCTCGACTTCCTTTTCAAACTCGCCATGCGTCGCGTTCTCGAGCAGTTCCCGCAGCACTCGCCGTAGCGTCTTGCCGCTCCTCGTCTTGGGTATCATGCCCTTTCCCTGAATGATGCCTCCCAGGCTGGCAATGGCACCTATCTGCTGCCGTACAAGCCCTTGGACCTCGCCAAATAGCCCCTCGTCCACCACGGCCGATTCCGGATGGTCGTGCCTAGACAGAGTAACAAAGGCAAATGGCAAGTGCCCCTTCAGAGCATCGGGAATCCCCACCACAGCTGCTTCGGCAATCCATCCATGAGACGTGATTGCTTGCTCAATGGCGCCTCATCATCGCTGTTAGCACATCCACGCCATTCCATACATGCTAAACTCAACTTACCCGTGCTGAACCGGTGCGCCGCAACATTGATCACATCGTCAGCGCGTGCCATGATGGAAATATACCCTTCCTCGTCCATCATCCCCGCATCTCCCGTGTCAATCCACTTGCCATTGAACCTCTTCAAGTAGCCTTTGTAGAAGCGTTCCTCGTCTTCCCACAGCGTCATGAACGCCGTCGGAGCCAAAGGTATCGCCATGACAATGTTGCCCATCTCGCCCCTCGCAACCTCGTTGCCACTGTCATCCACCACCCGCACATCAAACCCCGGCATCGCCTTGCCTGCCGAGCCTGGTTTGATTGTGAGCGGCTTTGGACGCGCTTGACACGAAAAGTCCAGTCCTGACGAAGCACTTAGCGCAATCCCGGAAATGGGAGAACCCGACTCTGATGACCACCAGTTATCTACCACCACTGCGCCCGGAGCGCAATGTTTGGTCAGCAACTCCTGATACATGCGAATGATACTCGGCTCGCTTCTCTCCCCTGCCAGAAATAGGGCTCGAAGTGTCTTTAGTGCACCCCTTTGGCCTCTTGCTTCGAAAAAGTGGTTTTCGCCATCGTCCCTTCGAATCGCCCGCAGAGCGGTTGGAGCAGTGAACATGGTCGAGACGTTGTATTCTTCTACAATTCGCCAAAACGTACTCGCGTCTGGAGTCCCCACTGGCTTTCCCTCGAATAAGATCGTCGTGGCGCCAGCTAGCAACGGGGCGTAGACAATGTACGAATGTCCGACAACCCATCCAATGTCGCTTGCAGTAAACATGACATCTCCTACACCATGGATGCTAAAGAGGTACTTGATGGAAAAATTGAGGCCCACGGCATGCCCCCCGGCCGAGCGAACCACGCCCTTTGGCAGCCCAGTCGTTCCCGACGTGTAAATGATGTAGATTCCATCTCCACTCTTTACTGGTACAGCGTCGGCCTTGAGCCCTCGATTTCTCGCACTCTTGACCAACCGCTGCCAGTTCCGCTGCCCATCTTCCTTGAGTATTGGGTCCCATCTCAGCTGCTCTCTTTGCCACACAATGATTCTGGATGGTTTGAATTTGCTCTTGTCAACCGCTCCCTCAATCATGCTCTTGTACCCAGTCGGCTTCTTTGTCCCTTCAATCCCACACGAGGCTGTCATGATGGCCACGGGCCTACTTGCTTCAATTCTCTGTGCCAGTGCCGCCGAGCTGAAGCCGCCAAAGACGACGGCATGTATGGCTCCAAGGCGAACAATGGCCAGCATGGCAAACAGAGCTGCTGGCACCATGGGCATGTAGATGAGAACGACGTCCCCTTTTCTTACACCCTCCTCTCGCAGTACGCCTGCAAGTGTCTCTACTTCTTGTAGCAGCTGCTTGTATGTGTACTGCTCTTTTTGACCCGTTACCGGACTGTCCCAGCAGATGGCAATGTTGTCTCCATTTCCATTCGCCACGTGCCGGTCAACGCAGTTGTAGGTTGTCGAAATCTCGCCGTCCGCAAACCACTCCCAATGCTCATGCGTCACATTACTTTTCTTCAGATATTTAGTCGTTTTCCGGAATGCATGCGATGGTTCTCTGTGCCAGTAAAGATTAGCTGCCTGACGCTTCCAAAATGCCTCAGGATCAGAGATTGATGCTGCATAGACTTGGTCCTGGATGTGTTGATGCGGCGTCATGGTCGGGTTTGAATCTGAATGTGATGGCGAGCTGCACAAGACGAGACTATGACAACGGGATGCGGTCTGGTTTCATTAGCAGTTGATAGGAGCATTGAATGGAAGAGAATCTAAATCGCGCAAGAGGTCCGTTTTTGTCATGACGCATCGGGCTAAAGGGTCATTTTGGGGGGGGGGGGAATACCTCGGAACGAACAGCTTGGACATGCCCAGATCTCCGCAAAGCACTAATAAGTAGTAGCGGGGAAGCACTAACTTGATTGGGATGCAGTGTTACTGAAGACATGTAAAGCTAGGAACATGCACAGATATCACACTCGGGCCTTCTATGTTTGCACCCGTCCATCTAATGTCGAGTATGATTGTACTTCCCGCAACACACGTTGTTCGCGTGGGTGAAAGTGTGTGACTGCGGTTTGCTCCGTCCCCACCATGGTCGTGCTGTAGTCTCTCATATTTGGGCACTGAACAAGTGCAGACGAGCAGGCAATTTGACTAAGGGCACGACGGGCATGATCAAATACACTGGGAGTCGCAAGACAAAGCGAACATTCCCTTGTCCTAAAGCATACTGTCTTCCTCCATCAATCCACGATGCTCACTGTCCAACCGATCAGACATCAGACTATTTCCGAACATTGCCCGGGTGACGTAGTATATAATCGACCATGGAACCATCATACCCGCGGCTCGCCCAAATAGCCCTCAACTCGTCAACACCACTGCCCCAGGTCGCTCCAAGGCTTATCACAGGCATCACTATGGCTCTGTCCCCGACACCTCGGGCCCTTCTTTTTGATGTCTTTGGTACCTGCGTCAACTGGCGCAAGTCCGTCGTTAGCGCCCTGTGTGACAAAGCTCACGAGTCGCTCAATGCCGCCACTGCATCGCTAGCTTCACAGCTTCGACTACGAGCTTCTGCCATGACGGAAGAAGATTGGAGTCGATTTGCGCAGGAGTGGAGAGACAGCTACAAGGTCTTCACCAAGAAACTCGCGGCGGATCACTCGTCCACTTGGATGACCGTCGATGACCATCACCTCCAGTCACTCAAGGAGCTCCTAGCCAAGTGGGAGCTCCAAGGCTTGTGGGAAGAGCATGAGATTTGCGCCCTGAGCCTTTGTTGGCATCATTTGGTGCCATGGGACGACTCTGCTTTGGGTGTTCAGCTACTCAACCAGCTGTTCGGTAGGTCGAGGACAGCCAACTGGTTGCCGACGCGTCGCTAAGTAACGGAAATAGCAACATGCACACTTTCCAACGGTAACATGAGGTAAGTTAGCTTCCGTCCCTACGCGAGGTCCACTGCACTTTCATGCATGCATTGGTAAACAAGGACGCGCATTCAACTAAGACCATGGATTGTACCCAAGATCATTTGCCGACGTTGGTGCCCGCGCGTTTGACCGTCTGATGCTAAAATCACTACCCAGCCTCCTCTCTGATCTCCGCGCCTTCACCGCCATACCGTTTACACACCTCTTCTCGTCCGAGATGTTCGGCACCTACAAGCCGTCGCCCGAAGTCTACCTTGGTGCTGTTAAAGCACTGGGCGTCGCGCCTGCTGAATGTGTCATGGTAGCTGCTCATTTGAACGATCTCAAGGCCGCCAAGGAAAATGGTCTGCAAACCATCTATGTTGAGCGCACTGGTGAGGAGGACTGGGGCGATGAAGAGATTGAGAAAGCACGCACTGCCGGTTGGGTGGATATGTGGGTCGGTCTTGGTAATGGCAACAGAGGCTTCATAACCGTGGCAGAAAAGCTGGGCATCTCGGTGGCAGAAGGCAATGCAGCTATGCGGCTGAGCTCCTCCCTTCCCATTGGCATGGATTGAAGACGCCAATCTGACAGATGCCTCTTACCTATGTCAGAGTATTGGTGGGCTAGACATGCGTAGTTGCGCGTTATGTTTGGATGTTTCGGGATCCCATGGTGTGCAAGTCTCTTGTGGCGCGTAGTGACGGCTTAGTTTCGCGACTTGTGCCCATTGAACCATCCTGCAAAAATAGAGTAATGAAGACCTTTATTTTCGTAGTCCAGACGACGTGTTCAGCACGTGTAGTGAACAATACTGCACGTGGCGTGATGTTCAGGGATCTACTTTGTTTCCCCTGGTGTTGCTTGGCGCGAAAAGTGAACACATGTATACAACAGCCTCTATGACGCGACACAAGAAGATAGATGTGAAGAGAAAACATATTTGCTATAAAGACGCGTATCGTGTTTCATACGTTCGTTTTTCATTTTGGTTTTTTTCTGTGTATATCATTTTGATGATTGGAGGTTTGTGATGAGTATTGTGAGAAGACATTTTGCGTATTTAATCTTAACAATTAAACATTTCAAAAATTCACACTGCACCACCACCACGTCGGATTGCGCTCAAAGTGGGTATATAGAATTCCGTTATCATAGAGATAATTATCAATTAGTTTTTAAGAGGATTAACCTGGTGATCACGATGTTTGCCTACTCGGGCGCATATAATGACGTCATCGGCATGGTCTCAAAATTGACACCACCAACATCAGCGGACGATGAGATCCTTGTGAACAGTGAGAACGTGAGCTATAGTAACGGAGTTTTATGGATTGAAATTATATCGACAGGTTGGGTGTGGATTATCATGGACGCCTAGTTTGCACCAAGCAAAGCGCCTGGTGCAGAGGCACATAATAACCACGACCCCCAAAGGAGAGGCTCAGGGGCGATGTGCTGTTGCTGGTCAAGTCCATAGCAGTTGCACGTAGCATACAAGTACATGCAACGGACGGCATATAAACATAGAGATGATAGCACGGATAGAGCCGCCAAACCCGTAAGCACGCGGCAAGGGGGAGGGCACAGGTTACGAGACACAAGTAGACAAGAACACCAGACATCACTAGACACAGGAGAAAAACTGAAGTATTATGGTATCATTCCATGCAAAGCAGAAACCGACTGATATAACCGTGAACTCCGAGCCTTAGTATACTGTACAAGGCTATGACCATCCCACCGAGCACCGAAGCCGACCATGGACTGAACAAGTCGGCAAAAGTCGTAACATGAAAACCGTGAAGAAAAACACTCTAACCACCGAAACCGTAAAGGGTGCGGCCTTGTCGCTTGAGAGCGTAGACAACGTCGAGAGAAGTGACGGTCTTGCGCTTGGCGTGCTCAGTGTAGGTGACGGCGTCACGGATAACACCCTCGAGGAAGGTCTTGAGAACACCGCGGGTCTCCTCGTAGATCACTGCAGAGGGTTAGCGGCAGATCGTGTGTAAGGAGCGGGACACATACTGGCTGAGATACGCTTGACACCGCCACGACGAGCAAGACGACGGATAGCGGGCTTGGTGATACCCTGGATGTTGTCACGAAGAATCTTGCGGTGGCGCTTGGCACCACCCTTTCCGAGACCCTTGCCACCTTTGCCGCCTGCATGATGGGTTAGTGTGCTGCTGGAGGCTGTAGACGCGCTGCTGGACGCGTCGTGGAGCAGAGCATGAGGGAGTACTCACGACCAGTCATGTTGATGGATGTGTGGGGTTGTTGTTGTTTGGAGGTGAGTGTGCAGAGTGGATTGGAGGGCGTAAGAGTGATAGACGCGGTGAGATTGGATGCTGGACTGGAGACTGGGCTGGCGTAGTGGTGTTTATGAGGGCGAGGGGGCGCGTGCACGGCGGGCGCCAGATCACACACCTGCCACGCCGGATCAGAGTGACGCACGGGCGCGCTTTCCAGATCAACGACCGTGCCCCTTCCCTTTCGGGCGCGCGGTCAAGCGAGCCAATGGCGCAAGCGCGCTCACTTGGGAGTTTTGTTGCAGCGCGCATTGCCAGCAGTTTGGCCTTTGGTGTTCCTGGGCCTGCTTTGCACCAGGCACGCGCAACAAAGAGTGATTTTCCTGCCAACTGCCCGCCCGCCCGATTACCATATAAGCAGCGCCCGCCCGCCTGTCTCCATCCCTCATCCACTCATCAGCTCCACTCATCAGCCTCATCCACACAACTCCTTTCCTCCACACCATCCACCACCACCACCACCACAACAACCATGGCTCGCACCAAGCAGACCGCCCGCAAGTCCACTGGTGGCAAGGCTCCTCGTAAGCAGCTTGCCTCCAAGGCCGCTCGCAAGTCCGCGCCAGTAAGTCTCCTCTTACCCTGTCTGCCATCGCCACTCTAACCATCTGTAGTCTACCGGTGGTGTCAAGAAGCCTCACCGCTACAAGCCTGGTACCGTCGCTCTCCGTGAGATCCGTCGCTACCAGAAGTCGACTGAGCTCCTCATCCGCAAGCTGCCCTTCCAGCGTCTTGTTCGTGAGATTGCCCAGGACTTCAAGTCCGATCTCCGCTTCCAGTCCTCTGCCATCGGCGCTCTTCAGGAGTCCGTCGAGGCCTACCTCGTCTCCCTCTTCGAGGACACCAACCTGTGCGCCATCCACGCCAAGCGTGTCACCATCCAGAGCAAGGACATCCAGCTCGCCCGCCGCCTCCGCGGTGAGCGTGGTTAAGCTTTTCACCTTCAACACGACATGACAACATCCTCGGGTCGGTGATGGGTCTTTGGTTCGGATAGTACAGGCGTTTGGGTTTTTTCATGGTTCACGGTCTTCAACTCGGTTTTATGAGTGCACACGAGCGGTGCTGAGCATGTAGTATATCCAGGCTAATCAGTGGTCACTGGTCGATATCCCACGAAATCAATAGATTTCCACTTCAAATTATTCAATGCTCGCAACGTGACCTTCATTCTTCTCAATCTTATTATTGACTTCTCCGCTGCCAACCTGCCAGTAACGTCATTTTTGCCACCCTGTCTTGCTTAGTTCCACCACATCCATCTTTGGATCTGGCTAGAGTGGCAAGTGATACCTTTCGCAGTCGTCAGTGCAACCGCAGCTACAAACGCGCTGGCTATCGTGTCTCGGTATGTCTGTTATAATCACACCCTTGATCCGCACCTATTAAATTTCGCAATGACCTGGCAACGTGAATTATCATCATGGATGTCGCCTCCTCGACTGAAGGCAGCCGATACACCGGCTGTCGGCCAAAAGGCACCTCCATTGCCCACCTTCGGGGAATCTGTACAGAATGGCAAGCCAACCATCATCAGTTTCCTTAGACACTGCGGCTGTCCTTGTAAGTAGGTCTGTTTAGCATTGGGCCCATCTCCAGACTAAACAGTCTTGACAAAATCACTCTAGTCGCCGAGAAGACTTTCCTCGACTTGCGTGCCATTGCACCTACTCATCTAGATGTTCACTTCGTTGCTGTTTCTCACAGCGACCGAGAATCTACAGACAAATGGCTTGCTTCGCTACCCGACCCTTCGCAAAACAAGCAACCCAATCTCCATGTCATTGTTGATGCGGAGCGTGAGACGTACGCTGCGTGGGGCTTGGGTACGTCGGGCGTATGGCACGTCCTGGCGAGCATGCCCAGCGTTCTGAAACTGGCCAACAAAGAAGGCATCAAAGTCAGGCCGACTGAAAGTGGCAGCAGGTGGCAGACCGCAGGCAACTTTGCTATAGATGGTGAGAGTATAGTGAGATGGTCTAGGAAAAATGAGCGTGCAGACGATATGCCAGACTTCAAGGAGGGACTTGATGCGCTGCTGCAAGATGGAGTTGAGTGAATTAAACCCAGCAAAGCCATGCAAGGCGGAAGTACAAGAATTTGTAGCGTTCCTTGCGATTCCACCGTCTAGCTCTTGTATTTCTCCTTGGTCTTTGGTTTTCCTTTCTAATTCCATCCTTCGTTCCGCGCTTTACACTTGACTATGTGGGGGACCATGTCGGCGCGTGATGTAACTTTCTCTTGTACACGATTGATCGCGCCAAATATTCGTGTAAACGAATAGCTGGAGCTACAACACAGACAAAGTCTGTTGTGCTGAGTAGCTCATATGCCTGACATACATGACCACCATGACCAACTACAGCTTGGGCCCAGCTTGTGCTGAATGGGCGTAAAGTCCTAAGTATGACCTCATCAGTAGGCAGACGCGAAAGCGCGCCAGCCTGAAGCGCGCCCCACCGCCACCGCAACCACACGCACCACCAACATATTGCGGCTGGATCATGGCATCATGACAGCACCGAATGTGCAGCTAACCAACCAAGTAGGCGATTATGGCTCGGATGTTGAAATCGAATCTGTCGCCACACTGAGTGATTATGGCTCAGACATCGACATCGACGACGACATCTTGCTTGCAAGTGCCTTCGCCACGATAAGAGGCGCAGCTCCTCTCGACAGAAGCGCAGCCTTGCCCAGTGTAGAGTTTGAACAAGGCGAGATTGAGGACGAAGAGCACGATGTGGAGGGCTTCGTGCACATACACAAGCCACCAGTGCTGCGTGTCGCTCAAGGCACGAGAAGTGTCCTGGCGGATAAGCCGAAGAATCCACAAAGCTCTCCCATACGAGAGCGATGTACGTTGGAAGTCGAGTATGACGAGAGATCGCGGCGAGCATGGAGTGGTAAGTCCAGTATTGTCGCGGCTAGAGAGTGTCTATGTCGACTGACGACTAACAGTTATTAGTTCCCTTTGAACAACCAGCCTTGTCTCCTCGACGCTCACCATCTCGCTCGCGTCGTAGCACAGCAGAAACCAAGCACGACAACGGTTCGCCACTCGAACGGTTTCGCACCAAGCCCAAGAAGCCTTTGTCGGTAACAGACCTTGTCTCTCCGGCATGGTGTGAACTGCAGTACTTGTACACTTTGAGCAAGTTTGGGCGCAAACCGAGAACACAGGCGATGCGCACGGGCTCCAAGATTCACGAAAAGCTCGAGGCCGAGGTACACACCACAGTGCCCGTGCAAGTTGAAAGCAAGGAAGACCGCTTTGGTCTACGTATATGGAACACAATATCTGGCTTGCGTTGTCTAAGCGAGACTGGCCTCACTCGAGAGTTGGAAGTGTGGGGGATTTTGGAAGGCCAGGTTGTCAATGGCATAATCGACGAGTTGTCCTACCAGTGCCCTGATGCCGCTTTTGAAGAGCAGCTCGAGAAATCTAGCGCTGAGAAAAATGGTGGCATCATTCCGCTGCCCTCGGGCCAGCTCAGAATCTCAGATGCTTTTGCCAAGGATTCCACTCGAGGCACGTCACAGCCTAGTCGTCAGATCTATATAACTGATGTTAAGACGAGGTCTGCAAACTCGCTTCCTGCTGGGGCCTCGTTGCGTCCGACATGGATGCAGCTGATGCTCTATCGTAAACTGCTCGAGTCACTGTCGTTGAATACGGTGGATGCAGAGACCATCTTCTTACGCTATGATTTGCAACCCCTCCAAAACTTCAGCGATACGTTTATGCAAGCGGTAGGCGGCATCGGCCCCCATAATCAGGCTCCTGATTATCCAAATCTTCTTTCTCTGTGGTCACTGCTGGTTACCGAAATGCAAATCGCGGTCCCTCCTACAAGTCTATCGCCCATTGTTCGCGCCGAGTTTCGCTATGCAAAGAGTGGCCACATCATTGGATCAGAGCTTATGATCTATGATCCTGACACCATTGACAAGTACATCGGCGATGAAATGGCGTGGTGGAAAGGCCGGAGAGAGGCAAAGGGAGTGGAAATAGAAGAGGCTTTCAAGTGCAGGATATGTGACTTTGCCGACAGCTGTAGTTGGAGAAGGACAAAGGTTGATGAGGCTATTGAGAAAAGTAGACTGAGGCGAGCAGCTAAGGAAAAGAGTGCTGTATAGCCGAATGACTAATCATTGAACTTTCCATCATCTTGGAACACTTGCATCATATACACAGTAGCCTGATCAACGTGGTAGAGACTTATTCATATCATTGATACTCTATATGTAAGCCTAGTAAAGGACACAGAATCAGTTGCCCATTCGAGAATTGTATGATCCACCTTGTAGTGATCAGCCCGAATAGGAAACACCGATACCATAAAACACATGGAAGCTGATTATGGCAACGCACACAAATCACATGCCAACGGGCCATTTACTATCCAGATATCGCCCAACATGGTGATTTACTGACCACTAGGAACCTGATAAGGCCCGTAGCCTGGCTTTGGGAATTTGGGCGTACCGTCCTCGTTCCAGTCAAACTTTTGAGCACGAATGGTACGGGCACTCCAGCCGTTAGTCGGATCTTTCATTCCATGATAGACGATCCAGTTCTCGGTATTGTCGGGAGAAGTGGTAAATGACGCATGGCCAACACCATACGCAGACTCGCTAGGGTTCTGATAGAAGACGGGATACGGATGCTTCCGCCAGTCACTAGGATTCATTGGGTCGTCGCCAACAAGCTCGAGCTGACCAAGGCAATAGTTGCGATTGTCTGAGCGGGCGGCGCTGTAAATGAGAAAGTTTTGGCCCGTGGTAGGGTTGGTAAGCTGTTGAGGGCCCTCGTTAGACGAGAGGCGATCGTTACTCGCGCGACCAAAAGGCGTCTTCTCCCACGCATACTCTGGCACCGAGATAACTTGACGCTCTGAGAAGGGCGAGGTGGTTGTAGAGGGATCCGACATTTTGGTGATGCAGAGGTTGGCTGGCCAGCCATCGTACTTACGGTACCAGCAGGAATAGATGTGATATAGCTGACCCTTATACTGGAAGTATGTGCCGTCTATAGCGAACTGGTCATAAGTCTCGAGTTGACCATGGTACCGATAGGTAGCAGTCCACGGATCTTGACCTTGACCAGCCACAACGAACATGCGGTGATTGACGGCGGGGCAGTTATATTCGCACCACATTTCGACTTCTGGCGGCGGCGAGTCGTAATTGGGGTCGGCAGTGAAGATGACCCACCAAGCACCGTCAATCTGGTGAATTTCCGGAGCCCACAGGTCAGTTGAGTAGGGCTTGTTGGGCTCCGGGTGAAAGATGGTCTTTGACTCTGCGCCGTTCCAGTCGGTCATGGACTTGCTGCGCCAGAGGGTTATGTTGACGTTGTTGGTGTAGGTCATGTAGTAGAAGTCACCATGGCGGAACATCCAACTGACAGTGGTTAGCGGTCACACGGCGGCGGTGGCAACCAAGCTTACGGATCAGCGCCTGTGTCGACAATGGGGTTGGCGAAAGTCGAGGTCGAGTTGGTAGGAGCAGAGTATTGGCAGAGAGCGCCAATGGCAAGCGCCATAGTGACCAAGAGCTCGAACATGCTGAGGATAGAGAGAGACGGCAGCTTGAGCAAAGCAGAAGGAGGAGTGGGTGGTTAGAGTATTTCGGCAGAAAGGCAGAGAGGCGGAGAGGCGGGGTGGTGTGGAGCGAACAGTCCCAAAAGGGAAGTGACGTGAAAGAGGAAACCTGTATTTATGTGTGAATGTACTAGTAAGTTCCTTAAGTATGTATTATGTACAAACAAAAACAACAGCCATGACGCCCCATGTGCGGGGGGAGAATTCGCCCAACAACAAGCAAACATGGGTCTGTCCCTGGCAAGTCATGTGCTGTGGTGGAAGAGTAGTTTCGCGGTGCTCTGTGACTAGTATGTATGTATGTACGTATGCGTACATGGACGCGGTTGACGGATGAGGCTGGTGGTGGTGTGGGAGCGACCCAAGCTTCCCCGCGCCGGTCGAGGCTGGCACGGCTGGCTAGTTGCAGGCCGCACCTACCACCTACTACCTACCACCCATGCACGTATTACTTACTAGCATGCGCGCCATACTCGTACTGTGTGCTGCACGACAGGCCGTCGATGGGCTTGGCACCTCTTTTGCGATCTACGACACCCTACAAAGCCCTCGACGGCACTCACCATGAACAACTCGCAGTTCCGACGGCTGCTTGTCGACATCCCCAAGACGCGAGATGGAGACAAGCAAAAGTCTCCAACTGCGCCAACGCCGAGGGCGGTGCTGGGTGCACGCAAACACTCGAGCATCCCCATGACGCCGTCAGTGCTTCCTTGCAACTGCATGCCCGACTCCTACTGACACGTCCACAGTCGCCAGGTTGGAAGAGGCTCGGTGCAGGCCGACTTCGCCCGCCAGCTCGCCGAGCGCAACGCCAAAAACAACCCTCAGAAGAAGGCCACATCTTCTGCGCCCAAGGGCACCAAGCTTGCTGCAGGATACACGGATCGCACCAAGACGCGCGACGACGATGAAGACAACGATATCGCAAAACGTATAAAGAACCTCGAGGAGTCCATGAAGCTTGGGCAAATCGACCGCGAGACGTTTGAGAAGCTGGTACAGGACATTACTGGCGGTGATGTTGGCACTACGCATCTAGTCAAGGGCCTCGACAGAAAACTGCTCGAAAGAGTGCGACGTGGCGAGGATGTTCTAGGAGGCCAGGACAAGAAAGTACAAGAAGAGGAACAAGACGCCGATGAGGCACCAGATGTCGAGGACGCCTTCGACGAGCTAGCCGAAGCTGAGATTGGTCCTGTTGTGCGCGAAAGGGTAGAGAAAAAGGGCGAAAAGATATCTTCGCCGCCTCCAGTCGCAGGCGTCAAGCGGAGTCGTAACGACATCCTAAAGGAGCTCAAGAGACAGCGAGAGGAAGCTGCTGCGGCAGCGGCAGCCGAGCACGAGAAAAAGTTCCCCACTCTAGGGCCTGGGTTCCGCAAGATAAATGCAAAAGGCGAGACATCACGCATCGAGACGGACGAAAAGGGACGCGAGGTACTCATCATCACCGGCCCAGACGGCAAAGAGAAAAGGAAGGTCAAGAAGCAGAAAACAGAACCCCAACCTACACCTCAAGTGCGCCATGATTTGGACGACGAGAAGAAGCCCATCAACATGCACAATCTCCCCGTACCCAAGAAAGACGAGTCAGAAGACGAGGATATATTTGAAGGAGTTGGTTCCAACTACAACCCATTGGCTGATCTGGACGACGGGGACGACTCCGACGAAGCAATAGCAGACCCACAATCTTCCGTTCCGAAGGCAGACAACGGCGGACAATTATCAGAAGGCGAGGTGTCTTCTAGTGAAACAGAAACGAATAACCAGAAATCGTCCAAAGACGCCGTGTCTGGCGCGCCTTCGAAACGAGACTACTTCAAGTCAGTGGCCCGTAGTACTGATGCCAGCCAAGGCTCCAATGTTGCTGCTGCCGATGCAACTGTACGCGCTGCTCTTGCAAAGGTGCGAAACCTGGATGAGAACTCCACGCTGCTGCAGAACCTGGGATCGTCAGATCCCAGCGATCCCGCAGCAAAGGAGGCACGTCTCAAAAAGCGTGCTGCCGAGCTAGCTGCTTCTGACCGCGATATGGAGGACATGGATATGGGCTTTGGCGCGTCACGCTTTGATGATGCTGAAGACATGGAGAGAGAAGGCGAAAAGATCAAATTTAGCCAATGGAAAGGGCTCGGTGCAGAGGGCGAGGAAGACGAGGGCGAAGATGGCACAAGAGGCCCAAGGAAGCAACGTAAGCGTGGGGGCAAGAAGAAAAAAGGTGACAAGAACAATGCTGATGATGTACTGAATGTCATGGAGAGACAAAAGGAGAGTAAGTCCAAGACACTGGGCTGATGTATTGACTAGCATGTTTGGACTGTCATTGGACGCCGCATCAAGCTCCTCTTGGGATGGTGTAATCTCTTGCGCCTTCTGTGCTGAATAGGACGACTACAGAATTTTCATCCAAACCCAGTCCGGCTCTTTGCATACTGCATGCTTTCTTGAGTGCAGTCATTGTGGCTGCCCCACACGGACCATTCTTCACACCCCGACTGTGCAGGTATTGCACATCATGATGCACATCAACATCGGACACCGTGACACTTGCATCGACACCATGTTTCAGAATTTGCCATGCCGTCTTTGATGTTGTTCCGCAGTTCATGCCGTTCATGATTGTGTGGCTGGTAGAAATGGGCGTGATCTCACCGGCTTTGAGACTAGTTTGGAGACTCGCTGCGACGTCTGGTTCAACCGTAATGACAGTAGCAGGGCGAGTCTGGGCTTTGTAATGCATCGTAACCGCCTGCGCCCACGATCCCACTCCGACAGCAGCAAATACGTGCGTCGCACCTGACAGGTCCAAATCCTCCAATTGCCTATCGGTTTCTGTGAGCATAGTCATGTAACCCTCGACGACCCACTGCTCAAGGTCAGCTTCTTGTTTCGTGTCATGTGCACAGGAGGGGGAGAGGGGGGGATACACCTCTGGGATTTCTTCATAGCCTTCCCAAGCCACATCCATAATTAACATGCCCCCCTTGTCCGCTTCTTCCTTTGCCTTTGCAACAGAGTAATCATAGTCACCATCCACGACAATAACTTTTGCCCCCTCACTCTCGATTTTCTTCTGCGTGGCCTCATCCATGAAGTCAGGCACAAAGATGACGGCCTTGATCTGCAGGTACTTTGCCATTCTTGCAACCGCTCTGCCCCAGTTGCCTTCGGTACATGTCACCAATTCTATGCCTGCTTTCCGTGAAGCGTCTCCCAGCTCATCCAGTGAAGCTGATGATGGAATGCCACACCTGGTAGATATGGCGTTGTGGATTGCCCATGATGCACCAAGAATCTTGAATGCTGGTAGGCCCAGACGCAGTGATTCATCTTTCAATAGTACGTGTCCGAGACCGAGTTCCTGAGCTAAGTCTGGGAGAGTAGTCAGAGGAGTGACGGCGTAGTCAGGTAGGGTCCGATGAAATGCCTCCACCACTGCGGGGTTCACAGGAGCACCATGATATGCCCAGGTAGCTGCAGATGGATTTTGAAACATGGTGTACAATTGGCCTCAGTTCTGCTTGCCTTGGCTCTTGCAAAACGTGGGTGCTGGTGTTTTGGTAATAGTACCGACAATTTGTTGATGTGATTACTTGCAGACTGCCAGTACTGTGCTCTCCCGTTGTTGCATATGCGCATAAGCCACGCGTGTCTCCCGACGGAAAGCGCCCTAAACCGGGTGGGCCCAGGTAAGCGTGGCGATGCTCGTTTGAGGGCCCTTGTTTGGTGTTACGGACACGCTACTATTACTAGTCATTAATTGAACGTTTGGGTACGTCATTCCTGAGGTACTACTAACTTCCTCTTGGACGCGTCCCCTCCAAAGCAACCTTCAGCCGCTAAGTAGCAGTAGAGCAAACAACACCAACATGTCGCAACCCAGGCCCCGGTCAGCTCTGGCAAATGTTCCAAGAGTCGTATTGCAGCCTACCTGGGACAACACTGTCGCGGCGTCGTACCTTGTAAAAGTAACTCATCATGTGCATACACACCTGTCCTTTAGGCCTGCTAACAAAGCCACAGGGCACCATTTTCTTCATTGCACATCCATTTCTTTACCCGCTGCTACAAGCCCGCCTACTCCCAGCATTTCTCCTCAGTGTATTTGTGCTTCTCAACCTTTTCTTCTGGACCTTGCTACCCCAAGTCCTCTTTCTCAAGCTGTTCCACCCTGCGGGCAGTGCCTGGGTCAACGCGGTGTTTCTCGTCCTCGGAGAGGGAGCAGCCATAGTCGCTCTACTATTTGAGTCTTTCTTGGTGGTATGTACTCGTGCCATGTTCACCGGCCAAGGCCGAGTGCTCATGTAGTGCAGGATGAATCTCAAGTTGATGTATTCGACGCCGTCTTGGTGTACAAAGGCTACGGAGACCTGGTCCGCCAATCTCGACCCCTCTCCGAAGATGGTATGAACGATCCTGTACGCCGACTCGGGAAGCCCACACGCCCCTCGGTCTATGCGCCCTTCTCCTTTCGTCAAATCGCCGAGTTTATCCTCCTACTACCTCTCAACTTTGTGCCGTATGTGGGCGTACCGATATTTTTGTTATTGACGGGCTATCGGGCGGGCCCGCTCCAGCACTGGAGATACTTCCAGCTTCTAGGCTACGACCGCAAGCAAAGGAATCTTGCCATCAAAAGGCGACGATGGCAATACACTTGGTACATAACTCGCATGCAACAGCAGGAATGCAACTGACCAACGACAGGTATGGGACAGCGTACTTGTTCCTGCAACTTGTGCCGCCATTCAGCATGTTCTTTCTTATGACAGCACCGGCAAGTTCTGCTCTATGGGCGGCTGATCTGGAAAGTCTGCGACGGGAGCGTGAGGCGAGCCCGGGTCATGCGCCACAATACACCGACGAACCGGATGCGACTTTGTGATTATGGGTGGTGTACTACTATACAATGCAATTGTTTGCCCTCTTGTTGGGATTCAGGGCGAGAAGCTCGATGCAATATCAGTGCTCGGGATCATGTGAACAAGTACGTAGTACTAGCACGCAAGAGCTAGGATGTTCTGGCGCGTCAGTGCTGGATGTGATCGGAGCTTGACGCGTTGTGCAAGCGCTCTGCAGCCGTCATTGTGGCTTCATGGGCGCAGGTGGAGTGAGTGGCAAGCCGTCTGGGCGATAAGCAAGCGCATGGCGACTCGAGTAGAATGTGAATTGACTGTGGTCGGCAGCATCCTTTGGCGGCACACTTGCTCGGCAGCGCGTTGTGTGTTGCCTGGAGCGTATGCGTACGTACTAGATGCAAGATACACCTGACTCGAGCAGGGAACGTGACACGCTAGGCGTTTAGGCCATGGGCCGCATACGTCAATCAGAGGCCGCGCTTCCCCAGCCTCATGCCTTCCCGCCCCATACTTAGCTTGCAGCCAGCTTAAGCTCCATCGCTCCATCGCTCCATCCATCTTTCCCCCCACGACTTTCCCCATCGTCCATCGTTTATCGCACACTCATCCTCCTTTCACATCTCATCCCTCTCTCATTCATCGCCTGTCATCATGAAGACGGCGATCCTTCTCGCAGCGGCCAGCTCGGCGTCTGCTGCTATCTACAAGACGCCACTCAAGAAGGTCTCGCTTTCTGACCAGCTGGTAAGCATTCATCACAGTCATGGGCCGGCACGTTTGTCTGATAATCGCCAGGAACATGCCAACATTGAGACACAACTCGCTGGCCTGAAGCACAAGTACTCTCACCAGCGCATGGCCAACTTCAAGTCTCAGTCTCAGATGGCGGCTGCCCTGAAGGCGCCCTACATTGCCGACGGATCGCACCCTGTGCCTGTCAGCAACTTCTTGAACGCGCAGTGTATGTCGCATAAGCCTCGTAGTGTCATAAGGTCAGCGCTCACACACTTCTAGACTTTTCCGAGATCTCCCTCGGCACGCCTCCTCAGTCGTTCAAGGTTGTCCTTGACACAGGCAGCTCTAACCTCTGGGTCCCATCGACTGAGTGCAGCTCAATCGCCTGCTATCTCCACACCAAGTACGACTCGTCTGCTTCATCTACATACAAGAAGAACGGTACGGAATTCGAGATCCATTACGGATCGGGTTCTCTGAGCGGATTCGTCTCCAACGATGTTTTCCAGATCGGCGACTTGAAGGTGAAGAACCAAGACTTTGCCGAGGCTACCTCTGAGCCTGGTCTTGCCTTTGCCTTTGGCAGGTTCGATGGCATCATGGGTCTTGGTTACGACACCATCAGTGTCAACCGCATGGTCCCTCCCTTCTATAACATGATTAACCAAGGTCTTCTTGACGAGCCTGTTTTTGCCTTCTACCTTGGCGACACCAAAGACAGCCAGGAGTCCGAGGCCACCTTTGGCGGCATCGACGAGAGCCACTACACAGGCAAGCTGACCAAGATTCCTTTGAGGCGCAAGGCCTACTGGGAGGTTGATCTCGATGCTATCACCTTTGGCAAGGAGACTGCTGAGATGGAGAATGTTGGTGCCATTCTGGACACTGGTACTTCTCTGATTGCTCTCCCCTCGGCCATGGCTGAGCTTCTGTAAGAACTGATTCATGGCACATAGTGATGCAGGCGCTAACAATGTACAGCAACAAGGAGATTGGCGCCAAGAAGGGCTTCAACGGCCAGTACTCGGTCGAGTGCAACAAGCGCGACAGTCTGCCCGACCTTACTTTCACGCTTACTGGACACAACTTCACTATTGACGCCTATGACTACATTCTTGAGGTGCAGGGATCTTGCATCTCTGCTTTCATGGGTATGGACATCCCCGAGCCTGCCGGTCCTCTTGCTATTCTCGGCGACGCCTTCCTCAGGAAGTGGTACTCTGTATACGACCTGGGCAACTCTGCTGTCGCTCTTGCAAAGTCCAAGTAAACATGTAGCCCTGGATATGATGGCCAAAAGGCCAACGAAATGGCATGAGAAGCAATGTTGATCAAGTGATTGGAGTTTGGCTGAAATTGGGCTTTGATTGAAAGGGTCTGGGAGGTATTTCTTTGGCTCGACATGGCAACACGGTCGGTATATGGTTAATAACAAATGTGATAACAAGTCCAGTAACTCGGCGTTGATCGCAGCGTGATGTGTGCAGTAGTACCTAGTATGCGCTTTGAGAGTGACGGATGCCGTGGTGTGCTAGCGTAGTAACAAGCAGCCGTGAATAATTGTCGACTGTCGACTGTCGATGCAGAAGAGTCAAAGTGGCGCAGCATGCGCTAGACGGACGGCTATCTAGTTGCCTTGGGCGTCCGGGGCTATTACCCCAAGTACATGATAGTGTAGAGTAGTACGGATCTGTACGCATGTGGCAGATACGGCTTGATGCGGCGTAAATGTCCATCCCTATCGATAAGTACGGACCAATGACGTCTGCAGGCTGGCCCATGGCGGCAACCGGAGGCTGGCAACCTAGCACGCAACCCCGGAGCGCGTGGGTTGATAACAACGAGGTCGCTGTCCGAGTACATATGCGAGTATGACGCGGTCTGCACATGACAAGTAAAGCCGAGTGGCCTGGTGCTGGTGCCTGGGAGTGTGTCTGGCAGTCTTATCATGTCACGCTAACAGGCGCCCTGCGGGAGTCTCGTGGCTGATGAGCGTGCATGGCTCACCGTGTACCCGTTCAAGTCATTCCTCCAACCTTTCCAATATGTGACATTCAACAAAGCACCCAACTGCCTTGCAGCCTCCAACGTCCCTTGCAGCAATAGTGATTTACACTACTCTTTCCACCTCGACCTGCCTTCTTCGGCCCGCCGTAGTACCACCGCTCACCAGCCTACCGACGCCGTCGACCCTCAACGTTTGTTGAGCGCAAGCACACCCACACCCACCACATCCTCCAACATGGCCTCCCAGGACAGAGACAGAGACAGATCGACCCGGAGAATGAGCAGGAGACGAAGAGATTCAAGACGGGAGTCCCGCGGCATGTCGCTCGATGTGCCGGAGCGCTTCAAGGATGGCGATGATGCTCAGGAAGACGTTACGGCGCCAAAACGAAATAACACCATGTCGATGAACCAATCCCTATTTTCCATGATCGCTCGCGCAGGGCAGCAGTCACAAACAGACCTCGGCACGATGCAGGAAGCTGACTCCGGTGATAGCGAAGATGAAGGTAAGCGACAGGCATCATACCATGGTTTGGATGGCGCTGCCAGATTAAGTCGCCTAAGCTCTGCAAATGACTTCCACATCCCGACAGAGGACCCTCACGACAAAAGCATGGCAAAAGGAAAGCACAGGCGGACACTGTCCGAAAACAAGCTCTTACGCTCGCTCCCCAAGCTGAAGGTGTCGAGCCGGAAAGAAGGACGCCCCGAAGGCCCGCGAGCTCACCCAATGTCTTCGTCGCAATTTCTACCACCAAAACCATCGCTCGGTCAATCTTCAGCAGCCTTGAAGAAATGGCAACCCAAAAGCAATGATAAGGACAAGGACAAGGAAAAGGCCGATATCACAATGGGCGAGGAAACACATACTGAGAAAGCATCCAATACTGGGCGGAAGAGCAGAAATGGAAGCACAGCCGGCTTGGACAAGGGCCAAAAACCTGTGACGCTTGCGCAGAGGATTCAACAAATATTTGAATTTGAGCAGCTTGAGGAGGTCATCGCCGAATACCCATGCTGGTTACTTCAAAGTATCCTATTACAGGGTTACATGTACATCACACAGAAGCACATATGCTTCTACGCTTACCTACCCAAGAAGCATGTAAGCATACATTTCCTGGATTTGCTGCAGTCTACTTACGTTCGATAGCATGATGTCACCAAAACAGGTTATCTCTTCAAGCGTGGCCGATCGAAGCTGAACAGATACTGGTTCGTCTTGCGTGGCGACGTACTCGCATATTACACCAACCCAGCAGAACTTTACTTCCCAAGAAACCGCATCAATCTTCAGTATGCCCTGACTGCCGAAGTGCTTGAAAGCACAAAAAAAGGCGACGAAGAGACTAGTTTTGCAATCACAACGGACGAAAGAAGATATGTTTTCAAAGCAGACAGTGCTGCGAGTGCGAAGGAATGGACCAGATCGATTCAAAAGGTCATTTTCCGAACTCATAACGACGGAAACAGTGTGAAGATATCGCTACCGATTCAGAACGTTCTAGAGATTGAAGAGAGCTCGATACTGGACCTTGCAAATACCGTCAGAGTCCGTGTTATAGATAATGACGAGACATTTGCCATAGACGAGGTATGTTTTGTCCAATGTCTATTCTTAGCATGTCTAACACAAGCAGTATTTCTTCTCGTTCTTCAACAACGGCCAAGATGCGCTCAATGTGCTTCGCATTATGATTAATGACAACGAGCATCATCAGGCTACCCCGGATGCTGGTGAACTCGAGAATCAACCCCCTTCTCATCGTGCCTCCGTAACATCGCCAACAGATGTTAGTGAAATGCCGCAAATACGTGAAAATGTGCGGGCTACTTTGTCACCGCTGCCTGTACCGCATGTCAGACGATCGAGCATAAGTGATGTGTCCGGTCGGTCTAGCAATGAAGTCAATGGAAAGAGCTGGGATGCGCGACGAAGCATGGATGTCACCCACACGCTTCGTCGCTCAAGCTATGAGACACGTCAATCTCCTCATGAGCGGCGACAAAGCTTCAGTGGTGACCCGCATAGCACGCAACACAAGCATCATTCGGAAGACGATTCGCCTCAGTCACCCAGAGCAGCAGACTCCGAGTCAGCTACTCTTTCATTCGAACCAGGCACTGAATCATCAGCCGCTATCCAATCGATGGATGAAAGCAATGCTTCCGCATCTCAAATACTCGACCGCTCCGATCTTTTCCGTGGACCAACAAACCTACCCGTCGATAATGCACCACTGAGCAAACTCGATCTACAGCATAGGGACTCACAGGAAACAACACGGTCAGCTCAAGCGAAGACTACAAATGTCGTAAAACGTTCCAAACCATCCGCAGCCGTAGCGGGTATGCCTGACTTTGAAGATGACACAGACGCTAGTCAGGCAAATCCTCGCATGTCAGGATCATCTTCAGCCTTACAGGATATCGCGTCCTACCCACTCCAGAAAGCATCGGGGCTAGCTGGGTTCTTGAGGACTCGATCGAAGAAGATGGGTAATCTGTTAGCAAGCGAGTCGATGGGCTACTATGAAAAAGTATCAGGCATGCTTGCGGGTGGACGAAAGCACTACAACACGGCCGAAGGCTTGGAGACTGGGGATCAAATCCATGGATTCGAGGATGATGAGGACGCAGCCAAGGCCGTTGAGAATTTCCGCGACCATTTCGCCTTTCCCGAAACCGAAATTTTACAATCTTCGTTCTTCGCATCCTTGCAGCGAGTGTTGCCAAACTATGGCAAAATCTACATCAGCGGGAGGTATTTTTGTTTCCGCAGTTTGATGCCAACGTCAAAGACCAAGGTCATACTCCCTATGCGAGACATCGAAAATGTGAACAAAGAAAAAGGATTTCGAATCGGTTATCACGGTCTCGCTGTTGTCATCAAAGGTCACGAAGAGCTCTTTTTCGAATTCTCCAAGGCCGAGTATCGGGACGAGTGTGCTATCACAGTCCTTCGTATATTGGAGAATACGAAGTACCTCGAGGATGAGGATTCATCTTCCTCGGGCGTGGATAGTGGAGACGAGGCGGCCAAAGTAGAACATGACTTGCTCCAGCAGGCGCGCGAGCACACGGATACTGGCAAGCAAGCTGATGTATCGGAGATTGTCCGTGCTGCAGACCATGACCGAATACCCCTCATATTCGACGACCCGCTCGCTTCGTTTGTAGACTTCAAGCCTTCAGAGCCGTTGAACATTGTTTGCCTTACCATTGGATCCCGAGGAGATGTCCAGCCGTACATAGCATTATGCAAAGAGCTCCTGAAGGAGGGGCATAAGCCGCGCATTGCGACACACGCCGAGTTTGAGCCTTGGGTGCGTAAACACGGCATCGACTTTGCTGTTGTTGATGGAAACCCAGCTGAACTGATGCGCATTTGTGTCGAACATGGCATGTTTACGTATGGATTCATGAAGGAGGCCAATTCCAAGTTCCGCGGATGGCTGGATGACGTGTGTAGTTCTTCGTGGAGGGCTTGCCAGGGTGCAGATGTACTCATTGAGAGTCCCAGCACCATGGCGGGAATTCACATAGCCGAAGCGTTGGAGATTCCATACTTCCGGGCTTTCACGATGCCTTGGACACGCACTCGAGCCTACCCCCATGCCTTTTCTGTGCTGGAGAAGAAGATGGGCGGAGGATACAACAGTCTGACATATATCACCTTTGATACTATATTCTGGACTGCAATATCTGGTCAGATCAACAAGTGGCGCCGGAGAGAATTGGGACTTCAAGGAACCACGCAGCATAAGATGCAGGCGAGTCTCCGACCGTTCCTGTACAACTTCAGTCCCCATGTGGTGCCGCCGCCTCTTGACTGGCCGGATTGGGTTCGTGTCACTGGCTATTGGTTTTTGGATGAGAGCGACTCATACGATCCTCCTGCCGAATTGTTGGCATTCATGAAAAAGGCACGTGCAGACGGCAAGAAGCTGGTCTATGTTGGGTTCGGCTCCATTGTCATCGACGATCCCGCAGCACTTACTAGGACTGTCGTAGACTCTGTATTGAAGGCAGACGTACGCTGCGTGCTATCTAAAGGCTGGTCTGATCGTTTGGAGACCAAAGACGCTTCGAAGCCGGAGATTCCCCTTCCACCCGAGATCTTTCAGATTCAGGCCGCACCGCACGACTGGTTGTTCAAACAGATGGACGCTGCAGTGCACCATGGTGGCTCCGGCACTACAGGAGCAAGCTTGCGAGCTGGAATTCCTACGATTATCAAGCCCTTCTTTGGCGACCAATTTTTCTTTGCGCAGCGCGTGGAAGACATGGGCGTTGGAGTATGGCTGAAGAAGGTCAATACGAGTGTTTTCAGTCGTGCGCTATGGGAAGTCACCAACAGCCAGCGCATGATCATGAAGGCAAAAGTACTTGGACAAAAGATCAGAAAGGTAAGTACATGCAACAGATGGAGGTTGCAGGTACCATGGCTAACACCTCGTAGGACAATGGCACGCAAGTTGCGATCCAGACCATCTACCGAGAACTAGATCGCGCTCGCACGCTCATCAAGAAGCAGACGAAACAGGACGACGACAATAGTGAGGAGTTTGAAGAAGACTGGACAATCATTGAAGAAGGCGAGGAGATGGACGGAGCTCATCCCTTTGCGATGCAGCAGCCATTGGCGGGGATCAACCAGGACGCATCTCAGATGGGTGCTGGTTCTTTGGTTCTGGGCAGCATGGTGTTGAAGGGCGCAGCTGCGCAGAAGCAGGCACCGTCAGAAGTTGCGCGTCGGGATTGAATCTTATCGGACTCTGGATGAGGACGTTGGGAGGCGTTGGGAGGAGATGGGGCCTGGATGGACGTCATAATGTAGTGGTAGTAGTGAGGGCTAGGGTATTAGATTGTATGAGTGCAGTCCATCTGGAGTGTCTCGCAGCATGTCTGGCATTGCACTTGGTACATAGGCCTTGTCTCTTCAAATCAAACCAAAGGCAAGCTCTGTTGGCTGCCACATGATACGGAGGTAGTGCTGTGTCTTGTTCGCACAGCACAGCACAGCAGCGTGGTCGCAAGGATGATCGGCGGGTCTTGGCAATGCCGCTGTCTTCGTAGTCACTACTACTACTGTCCAAGTAAGTACGTGGGCTTCCGCACGGCCATGCAGGCAATAGTGCCACTGTCGACGACGCATTGCTGCATTCTTGTCTGCCTCATTTGCCCCCCATACCCGAATTGAAGCATTGCTGTAATCGGCCAGCGGGGCATGTGGCTGACGGGCAAGGAGCCCCGAGGGCTGTCCTTTGTCCGTTGGGTTTGACGTTTGAGCGGACGTGCGAGCAAGGTGCACGCTAGCCCTGTGGCTGCAAAGGTATAAAGCTGCCCCTCGCTCCAAATTATTTGGGGGGGGGAAATCGGAAACCGGCCAGCCGCGACGCCATACGTCAATCTCCAGTCGCACCCAACACGCATACTCTCGCACCCAGCCCATTCACGTATCGCGCTGCACACTGGCCAGAACCCTCGACTCCCTCCATCACACACTCGGGCGCCTTCACCCATCCAACACGTTGCTTGCATCCCCAACACCCTTGCGACGACGCGCGAGCGGCCTTCCGACTGCTCTGCCGCGTCAGTACCGGATGCGCCAACTAGAAGAACGACGCGACCGCCATCACTACCACGTCGTCAGTCGCATGGGCTGTTCCGGCTCGGCATGAAGATCCTTTCGCCCCGGGATTTGAACTATCCCATCACCGTCATCGACCTTTTGAAGAAGCGTGACGCCGAGGTACCACGGTCCGAGAAGCTCTTCACGTACAGCTATGAGAGCCGCGTCGTCGAGGGCGACAAGTGGGGAGGGGAGCGGACGGTGATGAAGAAGTTTAGGCAAACTTTTGATGCGAGCACCGAAGGAAAAATCACGCGATGGTTCGTGAAGCCAGGCACTGTCATCGACCGATCCGGGTGAGTCTGCTTTGTTGTCGCAAGACAAGTCCTGGAGGCTAAACGTGCCCTTAGAATCCCATTGCTCGAGATTGAAGAGCCATGCACACACGAGACCCAGTTTGGCGGCCTCTGCGTCGATTGCGGCAGAGACATGACCCAGGTCGACTATCTGACTAAGGAGCGTGACGTTGACCGCGCAACCGTCAACATGGCCCATGACAACACAGCCCTCCTCGTCAGCCACAAAGAAGCCGTAGCCGCTGAGGAGGATGCCAAAAGGCGCCTCCTGAATGCGCGAAAGTTGACCCTGATTGTAGATCTCGACCAGACCGTCATCCACACCACCTGCGAACGAACAATTGCCGAGTGGCAGGCAGACCCCGAGAACCCAAACCACGACGCTGTCAAGGATGTGCAGGGCTTTCAACTTGCAGACGACAATGTATCCAATGTGGCTGCAAATTGGTACTATGTCAAGATGCGCCCAGGGCTCAAGGACTTCTTCGATCGAGTTTCCAAACTCTACGAAATGCACGTCTATACCATGGCTACCCGAGCATATGCGCAAGCGGTCGCAAAGATTATTGATCCCGAGCGCAAATACTTTGGCGACCGCATCCTCAGCCGCGACGAAAACTACACAGACAAGCTGAAGAGCCTGACCCGACTCTTCTACCAGAACACAGCCATGTGTGTCATTATTGATGATAGAGCAGACGTCTGGCAATATAGTCCCCATCTTGTCCGCGTACCTGTCTTCAACTTCTTCCCTGGTGCTGGCGACATCAACGCAAGCTTTCTGCCTAAACAACAAGAATTGGTATCGTTTACCAAGGACAAGTTGTCTCCAACGCCGAAGAAGTCAGCAATTGATGTCGAGATCAACAAAGCTATTGCGGTTGTAGGCAAGCCTACCGAAGGCGGTTCAGCTGGAGCTACAAATGGAGATTTAAATGAACTAGGGCAGCAACTTATATCTCTGGCGTCAACAGAAGATTTGGAAGTGCAAGCCAAGGAGCAGGAGAAGGTCATCATTGCACAGCAGACTGAACGGCCTCTATTGCAGCAACAACTTATGCAAGATAAAGAGGATGACGAGGCGGAAGACTCAGACGGCTCCCTTCAAGTAGAAAACGGCAATATGCAACATGTGGAACACCACAAAGTCCGACACAGCATCCTCAACGACAATGATAGAGGCTTGGATATCATTGAGAAGAATCTGATTCGCGTGCATCAGACGTTTTACGATGAGTACAGGAAGGCTAAGAAAGTGCCCGCGGGTGGTCGTGTTGCTGAGCTGAAAGGCGAAAAGAGCCCCAAGAAACGAGCCATGGACGATGCCATCCCTGACGTTGCAGAAATCATGCCACGCCTCAAGAGTGAGGTGCTTGATGGTGCCGTAGTTGTGTTTTCGGGTATCATACCTCTTGGCGTGGACGTTTTGTCGTAAGTTTGCTCGGACGCTGGCAGCAGTGTACAACTGACAATGACCTAGATCAGACTTTGCACTGTGGATCTCGAGTTTCGGCGCGGAGGTTGCTACCAGTGTCAATCGGCGGACAACCCATGTCATTGCCAACCCCGATCGAAAAACTACCAAAGTCAAGCGAGCTGCTCGTTATCCTCATATCAAAATCGTAAACCCTGAATGGATGTTTCAGTGTTGCACCAGGTGGGAGCATATGGACGAGACGCCCTACTTGATCGAAATCGATGCTGCCGATCGTGGTGGATCGCCAGTTCCGGATCTTGAGGACGAGAGCATTAATGGAACCGGTGACGAAGAGGTGGACGAGGCACCTCACTCACCAATAGTGGAGATGTCTGATGAGGCGTGGGCTGCGCTGGATGATGAATTGGCAGAGTTCATGGATGAGTCAGATACGGATGGCGGCAGTGAATCGGACACGGACAGTGTTCGGTCAGAGAACAGTACAGTGTCTGATGCGAAGCAAACCAAGAAGAAGCGAAAGCGCACGGATTCAACAGAGGCTAGCGAGACGGAGGAGAGCGATGCTAGCGTTACTAGCACTTCTCGACTGCAGCGGCGGAAGAAACGGACCATGGAGCGAGTGACGTCCATGACAAACGTTGTTAGTGCGGAGAAGTCGTCTGGTCTACCCAGTCCCGAAACCACGGGACCGGAGGAGGAGCAAGGCGAAGATGAGGACAAGACGGCTGAAGCCAATGGGGTTGCGCCAGACCTGGAGGAGGATTATGACGATGGACTCGAGGCAGAGCTATTGGCGGGGTTTGGCGATAGTGATGGAGAAGAATGAGGGAAACGTGTACATTGGAAAGCGAAAGCGAAGGGATCTCTTGGAGGCTTTGTCTCATCCATGGTCTCACCTGCATAGCGAGGTGTCTGGCATCTGGCGTTGAACATCTTGGGCATTTTCTTGGGGATACCTTACAATTGAACGTATGATTTTCGAGCTTGGCAGAGGAGTGTCTGGTGTTTGTACCATGGGTGTTATCAGTGTGTGTACACTACTTGTTAAAACGTGTACATACATGGCATGTACATACTCGTCATACTTGGATGTACTGAAGGCGGACGTGATGCGCCCGAAGGAGCAGTCCAAGTACGGCATCCAATGGTAGCACAGGCAGGCCACTCGACTCCACTTACCCCAGCATGTCGGCTACTCTGTGTGTGTGTACTTACTTACTCTATGCTAGCGCCCTTTTGTTCTGCCCGTGTGGACCCTGGTGCTCCCTCGGCCCAGCCAGTGGTGGGGGCCCTCGTCATGGCGGGACAGGTGAAGTGAGGCTGAGAGGAGTTGGTTGCTTTGGTGGGCGCAGGCAAGCCGTGGAGAAGCCCCAGCAGCCTCCGGCCCCTACTCACTCTGTCTGCTTTTGCTTGTCCACTTCAGCCTCATCAGCAACCCGCCGTGTGCAGCGCCTGGTAGCAGGCAGCAGGCAGCAGCGCTGACAAACACAATTCCACCACACATTCTGCGCCCATCACAAGACGCCGATAGCAAACACCCACACCACCACACTTGGCCTCCTGCTCTCGGCTGAGATTAAATTCTCCGGCAGGCGAGCGACTCTTGTCGCACAGCACACAAGATGGCGCCCCGGCTAGCTTTCATGGACTTGTCTGTCGACTTGAAGACGCTCGTCATTCAGCACGCAAGTACCGCGTAGCCTCTGTGTGACCGCTACAGCTGACTCTCACATCGTAGATCAATCGCCCAACCGACCTCAAGAACCTATGTCTCACATGCAAGCAGTTGCATGAGATTGCTGCCCGCCAGCTCTACTACGAGGTCACTCTCGACGTCGGCTCGCCCAACGATACGCGCCTCGCAGCCTTCCTCAACCCCAGGAACATCGGCCTACAGCATGTGCGCAAGCTTGACCTCTACCTTGCAGATGTGCTAGACAAGTGCAACCAACAACAGCAGGCCAACTTTGCCATTCGCATGATTTTGGAACTGCTGCCGGAGAATCAGTTGGACAAGTTCTCCTGGCATCCCTGGTCGCCCTTTTCTGCCGACAACTTGGTCTTGCTGTATCGGAAGCAGAAGCGCATGAAGTGGCTCGAGGGCATTTCTCTGGACCGCAATGTCTTGGAGGAGTTGCAGAAGTTGCCCAACATTGACAAGTGCTTTGACAATGTACGCAAAATTGGCCTATACCCCGACTCACGAGAGGTTTTGGAATTTTGCCACTTTCTACTCAAGAATACGGCCAACCGCACACTTGACAAGATCACATTACACGCCAGCTTTGACGAGCTGGATTCGTCCATTACCACGCGCGAGTTGAACGACACGGTCAATGAGCCTGGTCTGATTACGTCGACCATGTTCAGCCACATGCAGCCTTTCGCAAAGTGCACGCCCATGGCACTCAAAGAGATCACGCTACAAAAGCTACATCTACGGTACGCGGCAGGGACATACTGCAAACTGATCGACTTCCAAACGATTAAAAGCATCCGTGTGTTTGGCTGCTCGGGCGCCGACGCCCTGTTGGCCGAACTGAGCAAAAGCACAAAGCTTCCCGACAAACTCGAGACACTGGAACTCAAGCACGACGACAATACGGAAAACGATGGGTTGGGTGCCATTGACGGGTTTCTCTGCCTAGTGTCTGGGATCAAGACCTTGACACTGGACCTCACGTACGTCAAGGCGCTGCCGGCTGCTGCGGGCATTGTGCGCCATGGCAAGACGTTGAAGAGTCTGAACGTGCATGGCAGCACGGGCCCTGAGAGCTGTGACGAGGAGCTCGTGTACGACTATTCATCCTTCTCGCAGATATGCAAGGACTGCACGTTGCTAGAACAGATTTCAGTAGCGTTTCCTGCCGTGAGCGTGGTTCGAAGCAAGAACGATAGCTTTGTCAACTTTGAAAACTGCCTGGGTGACCTTTGCCATCTGGCCACACTAAACATTACGACGTGGCCGACCAACAGTCCTTCGTCGAGCAAATTGCCGCGCAAGATCTATGAGCATCTCCTTGCCGGGCTGGCGCAACAGGGGTTTGAGCGCAGTCGGGACCATGCCAAGGAGCAAGGGCGCTCATGCAAACTCGGACTTATTGCCTTTGGCTCGTCGGACAAGGTCTACGACCGCGAGGATAGTCAGAACCAAATTAGTGAGTAGCTGGGTCGAGGCCTACGAGACAGTTGCTAACAGGGCGTGTGCAGTATTTGTCAAGGGGCGGCAGATTGATCCACTGGGCAAGGAAACATCGACGGCTGTGCAGATTGGGTGGTGTCTGCGCAAGTATGTTGATGCTGGGGACAAGTCGGACGTGCTTGATTTTTCTCTTACGCGGAGCACACGTCCGCCGACACGCAGCTCAGCGGACAGCGACGACAGCGACTGACAGACACGACGAGGCGAGGAGCTGGAGTGGGACCTGGCGCTTATGGATGTGTAAGTAGTATGTGCTTAGTTAGTGTTGGGGCGGGGGGTGGGGGGTAATAGTGGAGGCAGCATGTAGTGGTATGTATGGCCAGGCAGGGGAGTGTATTGGCGATGACGTGTGTGGTGAGTATCAGGACGCAATGGGACGAACATGTGTTCACAATGTCGGAGGATTTTGTCTGGCTTTGGATCGACGTCGCTTGGGGATGGTGCAGGTGCAGGTGCAGTCTGAGTCCCACTCCCACTCCCACTCCCACTCCCAGCGCAAGCGTAAGCGCATGGGCATGCACTTGCACCTTGGTGGCCTCGGCTGTTTCCGCGTGTGGTCGGACCGCGACGTCAATCTCACCTGCGTGTGCAGTGGCAGGCCAGTCCAGTCCAGTCCAGTCCAGTCTTGTTTCTGCTCTTCGTCTCCCGTCCGCGTCTGGCTGCGCAATGCGACGAGTCCAAGAGGGACACCGTAGTACAGCCTGCCCCAGCTCCTGCGCCTGCGCCTGCTCCGGCTCCTCGCTGCACCCCACGACGCCTCGTCTGTCTGTGTCCCAAAGCTGACGCGACGTCACCTCGCCTCCTTCCTGCGCGGCGGGAGAAATTCGGAATCATGAAATCCCCAGACTCGCCCCAGTACCTACCACCCCAGGACCCGCACTACACCTATTCCCCCGCCCCCGCCCACGCCCACGCCCACGCCCTCGATGCCATTCAGCAGCCACCACAGCCGGTCCAGCCACCACAGTCTGCCCGTCTGCCCTACCCCCACGATGCCGCCTTTCCCAAGCTCGAGAACATCAACGAGGTGCTCCAAGCCCAGCAGGCCCAGCAGGCCCTCCACGCAAATCATATCCTGAATTCGCCTCAACCCCAGCCCCAGCCCCAATCCCAATCCCAATCCCAACAGTCCAGGCCAAATAGGCTACGCAAGGCTTGCGATTCTTGCAGCATCCGCAAGGTCAAGGTATGCCACGCCACGCGCCCACACGCCCCCTACCTATCTATACCTGTACTGGCTTCACACATCTTGTTGCTGACTCGCGCCTTCTGCTCCAGTGCGATGAATCGGGCCCACCCTGTAGGGCTTGTGTAGCCCTTGAAATCCCATGCACATTCGACCGCCCCAGCCGAAGACGCGGGCCTCCCAATAGACACGCCGAAGCCATCAAGCGGCGGCGCGTTGCCGGCATAGACTCGGAAGGGTCAGCGCCCGAATCTCCCACCAGTGCTGCTCACGCCTTGGCCCAACTCCAGTCCTCCCAGCTCCAGTCCGTCCAGCCAGCCCAGCTCTCTGCCGAGGAAATATGCGCCCTCCCGACCCTCAACGCCCTCATTGACGACTTCTTTACCTACATACATCCACTGTGTCCCTTTCCGCACGAGCCCTCGTTTCGCGAGGCATGGGGCCGCAGAGAAGACTTGACGAACCCATCCTTCCTCGCCCTGCTAGCCTCCATGATCGCTACCTTGGTCGCCTCTTTCCCCCGGAAACCGCGTCTGCACCTCAACTCACAAACGCGCCACGAATACCCAAATCATCTTGCCCTGGTTGACAAGTGCCGAGACGTTTGTGCGCGTGCGCGAGGCCCTGGCTACCTCGATCGTCCTTCTCTGAGTGTGTATGATGCTTGCACAAGCTACTTTCTTGGCTTGACTGGAGCCTATGTCTTCCAATGGCGGCAGCTGCGCCTGTACATGGCCGAATGCCTGACCATCATACGCGGCTTGGGTCTCCACAAACCCGAACTCCAGTGCTATACTTACCTCGGCGGTGTACCTAATGCCTGGGGCTCCAGTGGTCCCAACTACGACGGCTCAAGGGAGGCCAAAGTCGACTATATCACAGAAGAGATTGGCCGTCGTGTTTTCTGGACTGTCTTCGTTGGTGTGCGGTGGGTTACGTCCTATCTCCAGTCTCAACAATCACTAATTTCAATTAGGACCATACAACAGTTGGGTGCATCTTTCGGAGAGCTTGTGATTGCGCCTGCAACACCCAGCGAGCCTCTACCTCCTCTACCGCGAGAAGTAGATGATGTACACATCTTTCCTCACGAGATTCAACCACAGCAGGACGGTATTGTCTCAATGCTCACTGGCTTCAATATCAACGTGCGCATTTATCTTTCATACTCTTCACTCGCTACAGCCGAGATGGCTTTCGGCATTGACGAGATATTCGATTGGGACCGACAGCAGCGTGTTTTGCAGCAAAGCTTGCAGCGTTGCAGGCAGATCTTGCAAAGCATACCAGAGGTACTAAAGGTTCGTCCCAAGACTGGGAGAGATAGCGAGGTTGAGCCACAAAAATCGTATCAACCGCCCGTAAACGAGTACGCAGGTATGCGAGATCGTGCAACAGATGATTACCACAAGTCAGATGCTCCAGATTCACGACGCTACGAGATACAGAAAGCAAACATATACGCCAGCCATTTGGCCACCCGCTCCCACTTAGTTGAGAAGTATTTTTTACAACTAGAAAAGTACCAAAGAACAAAAGCCCAAGCGATTCTACAGAGCTCTACCAATGCGATTGCGGCAGGAATCGATAAGTTCGTATCTGACACAACAGCTGACCCTGAAGCTCTCGAAAAGATAATGTCTGAAGAGCGCGAACAGGTGGTCAAAGACCTCTTGGTGGTACTCAGCAATATCGACATGGTCAACATGGAGCCCAATGGTGACTCTTTTGTAAGTCTACACGTTCTCTTACAAGACTTGGGTCTCCTCTGTCAAGCTGGATACCTGGTGATATACCTACTCTCTGTGTTTTTTTCTTCTTCTTGCCCCAACCACCATGAGTCCGTTCGTAGACTTACAGGTCGATCCAACACAGATACAGAAAATTCGATCTATTGCCAGTACGCTGCTTGACGTACCTAAAGAAAGAAAAGGTAGTGTAGCGCAACAGCATCAAGATTACCTGTACAAATTCCTGGATATACTAAGCAAGTTGGAGAGGGTAAGCCCAGAAGTCAGTGCTCCCAATGGCGGCAGCTTTGATGAAGAAAGCGAGTTGCGCTTGTGGGCAGATTTGAGGGATCATCAATTGAGATTCCAAGAGCATGGGGGTATTTACGGCTTTTGATGAAGCGGCAGCTAGGTTGGGATCTGAGCCGAGCAAAGACCAATCTTACTCAAGATATCCATCACGCAAAAGCCTGTCACTCCTGATCTTCCAACAACCACATTGGAGGCAACGTCAGGAAACAGCCTATCGGCAAAGGCCTCGTTCCCTAATGACATTTGACCTTTCCATTCATCATGAGCAAATCATCGCTATAGACTGGCTTTGAATGCAATCATGATGTCAGAGGTTCATATGGAATACTAGATAATATGGGGTTTCTCTCAGCGTAGAGCCACCTTTCGCACATAAGATGATTCATATTGTAGCATCCCTCTCTTGATTCTAGTAATGTTGAGTGATGCTTAGAGAAGACGTGTTCCCACCTCTGCAAATCTCAAGTATCTTTCTAATGCCCTTTCCAACAATGACCCAGTGTCCAAGGGTGCACGTGTCATACCCAAACCTCATCATCCGGTTCTCATCTTGTGCAACAGACAAGAACTGGATCTGGATGCTCCCGCGACGTCTCATATTCTGTACTTCTAAGCCCCGCTCCGGAATGACTCGAGCATAACAGCAACGAAAATCTGAAACTCTGCCCATCAGCCTATGGCACGACGACTACACCCAAGCTTCCAGCCTGCCCTACAATGCTCCTCGCAATCCCCTCGAGACTCAACCCACTCAATCGCGTCTCACTGTGCTTGATCTTGGCAATCTCATACACATGCTTCAGGCTGACGGTACCCACCGTACCCTTGACCGCATTTCCCGCCGTTGGACTACTCGTTGACGTTTTTCCCTTTTGTCCTTCGTGGTTGTTCATTGGCCCGGGGACGTTTCCTGCACCCCGTATCTTGTTCTTGGTGGGTAGTACACCTGCCGCACTTAGGAGGAGGGTCGCAGTAGGTGGTGTGCGAAGCTGAAAGTGGAATGAGCGATCGGGGCGGACTGTGATGCGCGCAGGTATGGGCGTGCCCGCTGTATAGTGTGCTGTTCTTGCATTGAACTCCTGAGATCAGGTTATCAGCTGAATGATCTTGCAACAATGGGTCGAGGTAGAAGATCCTCTTGTAACATACTTTGCAAAAATCCATGCTCTTTACACCTTTACTTCCCAGCGCTGGTCCTACAGGTGGTGAGGGTGACGCTTGACCTGCGCCTACGATCAATTTGACAATTTGATCTTTTGCTATTGCTTTTCGCGCCATGATGTGAGGATGTGTAATGTGGTGGCGGTGGTGGGTGCGTTTGGGGAATTTGCGGAGAGGCTCGGAGGTGCCAGTCACAGGGTTTTCTGCACCCGGTTCAATTCATTTTTTTTCACACAATCAATCCGTTTTGACACTTTTGGTGGAAAATGTTCATTTCACTGGATGATTGGAATGTTCATGAAGAATAAATTGACTTTGCATAGGATGATGTGGGTGCCTATTGTTGCACGTGACAGCGCGAATACGCTAATGAGGGACGTGATGTTAGTCCGCCACCTTGGAGCACCGAGCAACACTTCTGCACTATTCTTCCAACCTTCACCACGTTGTTCAAAACGCCCCATAAAACCCTGCCGAGTTCTCCGGTGTAGTGATTAATCATGCATCGGCCGAAAACACTCGCAACCGGCGAGGCCACGCCTTTGAAGCCTGCAGCGCGTCTCTATGGTGGCACTCCGCAGTCGACCGAACGTTTAATCAAACCATTCCGATGTCCAGGTTCAGCCACCGTATCGCGAGTGTCAGAAAAACCAGCGAGGAAGAGGCGGAAAGTCGATTACTCTGGCGCTGGTGGTGAGGATGGGGAAAGTGATAAACCGTACTCCAACGAGGATCGATTAGCCCTCGCCACACGAGACGCGAACCGATTCCCAGTGTTCAAACCCAAAGACAAAGAGACTGCATTCAGGGCGAAATTCATTGTGCCTCTAGTCAATAAGGACACTGGAGCATATAACCCAAATCGACCAGCGCCTCTATTGGGTATGCGAACTGGAACTGTCTTCGTTGCACGACCATTGCATGACCCCAGTGGAGAATTTGCAATCGTATTATACGACCCAACTGTTGACGACAAGCCGGAGCCGAAACAAGACCCTGAGCCCAAGGAAAGTCAAATTGAGAAGAAGGAGCTAGATGCTCCACTGGTTCATAAAAGTTTAGCGGAGATACTGGGTTTGAAGAAGAAGGTAGACAACGAGCGACCGCGTGTACCAGTCGTGATAGATCCAAGGCTCGCCAAGGTTCTGCGACCCCATCAGGTTGAAGGAGTGAAGTTTTTGTACCGAGCCACGACTGGTATGATTGATCCAAAGGCGAACGGCTGTATCATGGCCGATGAGATGGGACTCGGCAAGACATTGCAGTGCATCACGCTGATGTGGACGCTGTTGAAGCAGTCACCCGAAGCTGGTAAATCCACAATACAGAAATGCGTTATTGCATGTCCCTCGAGTTTAGTAAGAAATTGGGCAAACGAGCTGGTCAAATGGCTGGGAAAAGATGCCGTTACCCCTTTCGCGATCGACGGAAAAGCGTCGAAAGAAGAACTGATTCAACAAATACGGCAATGGTCAATCGCGTCCGGACGCGCAGTTGTTCGGCCAGTGTTGATTGTGTCCTATGAAACACTGCGACTCTACGTGGACGAGTTTGGACAAACGTCAATTGGATTGATGCTTTGCGACGAAGGTCATCGATTGAAGAATGGAGACAGCCTAACTTTCACGGCCTTGAACAGCTTGAACGTACAGAGACGTGTCATCCTTTCCGGTACGCCCATCCAGAACGATCTTTCAGAGTATTTTGCACTGCTCAATTTCGCGAATCCTGGTTACCTTGGTACACGAATGGAATTCCGCAAGCAATTCGAAATACCCATTCTGAAGGGTCGTGATGCCAACGGAACAGATGCAGACGTACAGAAGGGTAACGAGCGGCTCACGGAGCTATTGGGCCTGGTCAACAAATTCATCATCAGACGAACTAACGACATTCTCTCCAAATACCTACCGGTCAAATATGAGCACGTCGTGTTCTGCAATCTTGCACCGTTTCAAAAGGACCTATACAATCATTTTATCAAGTCACCGGATGTTCAAAGCCTGCTACGCGGCAAAGGTTCGCAGCCCCTCAAGGTCATTGGCATGCTCAAGAAGCTATGCAACCACCCTGACCTGCTCAATCTACCAGAAGACTTGCCAGGATGTGAAGACAAGCTACCTGAAGATTTTGTGCAAAAGGACGCACGAGGTCGAGACCGGGAGGTCAAAGTGTGGTACTCTGGAAAGATGGCCGTCCTTGACCGTATGCTTGCACGCATACGCGCCGAGACAAACGACAAGATTGTCTTGATTTCCAACTACACTCAGACACTCGACATTTTTGCCATGCTTTGCCGATCACGTGGATATGGTTGTTTCCGCCTAGACGGCACAATGAACGTTAGCAAACGACAAAAACTGGTTGACAAGTTCAATGACCCGGAGAGCCCCGAATTTGTCTTCCTTCTCTCCTCCAAGGCTGGTGGATGTGGTCTCAATCTCATTGGCGCTAACCGACTTGTCCTTTTCGATCCCGATTGGAACCCAGCTGCCGACCAGCAAGCCCTTGCTCGTGTGTGGCGTGATGGCCAGAAAAAGGACTGCTTCGTGTACCGCTTCATCACCACCGGTACCATTGAAGAGAAGGTCTTCCAGCGACAATCTCACAAGCAGTCGCTCTCGTCCTGTGTTGTTGACTCTGCAGAGGATGTAGAGAGGCATTTCAGTCTTGACTCGCTTCGTGAGCTTTTCCAATACCGCGATAATACGACTAGTGATACCCATGACACGTTCAAATGCAAGCGATGCCGGAAAGAGGACGGCAAGCAAATCATCAAGGCTCCGGCTATGTTGTATGGTGATACGAGTACTTGGAATCATTTTGTGAATGATGGTGAGACTGGCGCACTAGGCAAGATTCAAGATTTGTTGCTTAGACAGGAGACGGCGAATGACTTGAAGGACGTTAGTGCTGTATTCCAGTATATAAGTCATTAAGAATCAGGCTTGGGGCGTTACCTGGAATAGCAGCGGTCTTGCTATGGGTTATTTGTATTTGTTCTTGTGTTTATAGCGTTCATGAAGCATGATATCGCGAGCAGTGTTTTGATGAGCGTGGCATGAGGAATAGAACGAATTTATCATTCGGAGACGACGACCATTGTGACTCTTGATAGCTTTCACTATTTGCACCTGTCTGGCGTATATCATATTAGCTTATTTCTCTTAGACAAAAAGAAAATAGTAAGCTACAGTCTGACCTGATAGAGTTGGGTATCAAAAAGAAGACTTTGTTGTTAGAGTAAAGATTCTAATAAGAAGCTCTTCTTCTGAACCTTAGAAAAGTTGTTTAGTAGCACTCATAATTTCTCTATAGTAGGTGTACGCCTATAGGCGCGACAACTAGGCCAACTATGGTTGCGACGAAGGCAGCAACAGCGAACTACGATTGTAATAAGGACAGCAGCGCGCCGATGCCTATGAATTCGCCATATCGTCCGTCCTTCTCTCCCAATCTCATCACCGCCGCGAATTCATTTGGGCTCAGTCTCAACTCTCACCAACACAATGGCGAGCTTCCTTTCGTGGCCGTCTTATTATCAAGAGCGTTTCCAGAACACAGTCCAAACGCGCAACCGAACAGGCCCTTAGCGTGACTCTACTTCCGCTGTTCTCCCGCCACTTGGTCCAAGCTTCAACATTTTGTAGAGAGCTTCGTTAGCTGTCCATCACCCCCTTACGAACAAGCACATATACACCAATCACCCATCATGGATCCAAAACGTCGCAAGATCGGCGATCAAGATGTCAGCGCACTTCGCCTCGCCTCACGACAAAAGTACCTTGCCGAACGAGAGGCGCAACAGCTCGCCATCCTCCGTCGCACAGTCGCCGATGAAGCAGAAGAGGAAGAAAGACTAGGATCCAGATTATCAGAGAGGGAACGCAAAGAGTTTGCAAAGAATAGAGAGACTCTGAGGTT